TACAGGACTAGATCCATTGGTTTCTAAATGCTCTACTCTTGACCTTCTGTATACTTACTTTGTGCTTATCAAGTGTTCTAGTTTTCCTTTCAAGGATTGACTTAAGTTGACTATCAAAGGGACAAACAAATTCAAGGACGATATGGTTGATCAAACAACTGTTATTGAACTGGTTGAAGGTGAGTTGGATTGTGAAGAAGTCGACTCATAGCAGGATAAATTGCTAAGCTTGAGAAGAAAATGGAAAAAATGGAACAAGAATTGACAGCATCAAGAAAATGATAGCCGAACTTAAGAACTCTTCCAATGAAGACTCATTAGATTACAACCTTAGGGACTCATACGATGAAGATTTAGAGGGATAATTTAATACCTTGAAAGTGTTTAGCGTAGTTGAAGTTGGAGAGTTGCAGAAAACTGTTGGTGTCTCCTGATTTTTTATGTTTACGGAGGGAATGTAAAGGCCATAGTTGGTTGCATGATTGATGGAAGGGAGTCGTGGTTAACACTTAGGATTTCAGAATGTTGGTTCAGTATTTACGAGTTAGTTTTACAATTTGTGGATTGATGTACGAGTCATGGTTAGGCTCGTGGTCAGAAGTCCTGAAAGTTGGAAAATATCAAGCCTCATATACCACTTTGTACTATCCAAAAGTACAGCTCGTGAAAGGAACCATAAGTCATTGGGTCTCATGGTTGCATTCATCACAAAGTTGTATTTTTATTACTTGACTTCTACGGAGAGTCTTTACATATAGTAAATTGATTGATGGGCCCAACATGGTGATTCATGGTTTAAAGCCTGAGACTCAGACCTTATCTTCAGACTATAATTTGTTGATGTTATGAATGATAATCTTGTGGTTACGCTATGCTTGGTGTGTTGCCTTCAGACCTAATTGAAGAAGTTAGCATATTGAAATATGTTGATATAGTGAGTATATAAGTGTTATTTGGATGATAAGTGGCTTGTTTCATATGAACTTATGAATGAGCGATTTGTATGATATTCGGTACCATGCCGGTACAGTACATGGACACCTAGGGGGTCCCCTGCCAGTCATGACTCGACAGGCAAGATTAAGACCCTTTAGCATGTGTGTACAAGTGAGAGTTAGACTTATGATTTAATTTAGAGAGGTGTGTTAATGATTCCTAACAGGTGCAGTGATTATGCAACTACAAGGACAAGATGGATATAATTTCCATTTGACTTATTTTGTTTTTACAAGTATGTTGAATTGATTTGTTGCATTTTGACAAGTGTATTGAATAGACTTGACGTATTTTGACAAGTGTGTTGAATTGATTTGATGCATTTGAAAAGCATGTGATGATTTATACTAATGACTTGTATTGTTTTATGGATATTATACAGTGACATAATTATACATGCTAGTTAAGGTCTAGTGATGTTAAAAGAGTAGTGTACGCTTCTTGCAAATCAATTCCTCTTTTATATGCAAAGTGTGAATGAACTACCTTATATTTGAAAAGTCTGTAGGTTAGCTACAACAACTGTGAGGGAGGTTTAATAATGAGTAGAAAGTGTTTTTGATGTTTAATTTATTGTATAACCACTAATAATGCTAAGAGGTAGGGATGACAATGGCGCGGTGCGGGTGGGGCGGTGCAGGTTTATACACATGTGAGGCGGGGCGGGGCGGGTTGAAATTTAAAATTTTTAATTTTATATGGGGCGGGTGCTGTGCGGGATAGGAATGTCTAATTTCTTTTTCTTCGTTCTTTTCCTCCACAGTTCTGTCTCTTTTGCTTTTAAGTAACACAGTGAAACTTTTTTTATGGAATTTCTTTTTATTGTTGCAAAAAGATATTTATTTATATATTTCACATAGTGTCACGACCCAGGGGTACCCCTAGATGTAACATGACGTATAGGACCCCGAGAGAGCCCATACAAGCCACTTAGCATTCATAACATAAGGAATAGAACCAAAGAAGTAAATACAACATTTCAAGTCCAAATTTTATAAAAGTAAAGCGGAAGTCTAAAACACTTGTCTCATTAGTCATCTAGTACAATAGAATGAAATTGGGCCTAGCCCATACGTACGAAACTGGAAATACGAAAGAAAACTGAAACAATAGAATCAGTCCTTGAAGCATGAGGACTCACCAAAGCTCGGGAACCTCGCAATCAACCACTAGCCCGAAACTGAGAGAACCAGACTTTTGGACCCTACATTTGGAAAAATGTAGACAAGAGTATGTGTTAGTACAAAACAATGTACCAAGTATGATAGCTATGCATAAAATATTTAAATCATGCTAAAAGAGGACATTTCATGACATGCAATTGACCAAGCTAAAACATGATATAAAAAGGGTTAGAAATTATAAGTCATAAAACATGGTCAATGCAAGCTAACATCATTTAAAACCTTTGAACACATATGAGATACATCAATTCAGCCATAAGAGATCATAATTCAATCATATAAATCAATAATCAAGAGAATCCATGACAATTGAAGAAAACCCTAACTCAATTGGGGATTTCTAACTTTGAAAATAGGAGGATTTGGAAACTCCATGAACGGAAGGAATCCATGGATGAAAACTATCATACCTCAAAGCCAATTGCTTACCTTCAATGGAGGAATTGAGACTTGACTTGAAACCCTATGTTGAATCTTCTTCATCAAGCTTTCTAGAGATAGAAATATTTGAGAGTTCTTCTTTTTGGTGAATTTGAAGAGAATGAAGTGAATGAACTAATTTGGGGGTTGGAATCACTTACATAGGGGTCTTAGTGAAGAATAAAACGACGTAGTATAGGGATAAAATAATTAGGAAAAGACCCAACTACCCCTAAAACTTAACTGCCTGGCACGACCTACGGACCCCTGCTGACGGACCGTGGACGGACCGAAGGTCCGTCCTGCATGGCCGTCGTCCATGGTCAGAAAGCTGGATTAATCTGGGGTCTGGACCACGAGCCCCCAACCACGGACCGTGGAACAACCGACGATTTGTGGGTCCGGTTGTGGTTCTGGACCTCTGAGTCAAAGTTGGGAGTGACCAACCACGGACCACACCTACGGGCCGTGCTTGACAGCCTTCAGTTGGCACCTACAACTTCAAAAAATTGATATCTTATCCTCTTTTGGATTCGGGGTGTTACACATAGTCCTTGCATCTGTAAAGGGAACATATCCATCTTATGGAATTTTATTTACTCATCTTTTGAAATAAAATTTTATAGATTTGGAAAATGCATAATATGGAGTACTATATATTACAACAATTAACAACTTAAAAAAATTATAAAGAAATTTCTATCAAACCCAAAAATAATATATTATTGACTCTCAAAATTTCAACTGTATCACATAAATTGAAACGAAATGAATAATGTTAATGATCCGAGAAAATTATATTATTTAATATTCTTATGGGTACAGTGTGTTTTATTTCAAAATCTATTTTTTTAGTAGGATCGAACTTATTAAAAATTTAAAATTAGATTATAACTTTGGTGAAAATAATAAAAAGAAACTTAAGAGGCGCGGGGCAGAGCGGGTGGAAGCTGAGTAGATGCGGGGAGGGTGGATGAGGGTGAAAGTGCTTAAGTGGAGCGGGGCGGGTGGAGATAAAACCCGCCCCGTCCCTGCTCCAGCCTGCTCCATTTCCATCCCTATTAAGAGGTTGAGTGGAGGGAATGGATGATAATAATAAGGCTAAACTTAATCTTGCAATAATGTCTGGTTAGTTTGCATGGGTATGAGATGAATATTAGGAATAAGGTTAGAGAGTATATTAAGGAAATGAATATTAGGAATAAGGTTAGAGAGTATATTAAGGAAATTAAATAACTAATTTATAATTTTATGTGAATGAATAAGGTGGGGGAGGAATAGGGAATATGAAGAAGTATTAATTGTCATATAATGTTATGACTTAATTGTGGAGTTGTTCCTGTTGATTTTTGTGATGTTTTATTTGAACAGTCCAAGTTGATCTATGATGTCTACTCAGTACGTGCGGTGAACTGATACTACTTTTGTTATATCTTTTATTGGTATAGATTAGTTTCAGGTTGTGTTGAAGCGTGGGATAATAGACGTAGGGGGTGGCGGGGGAGGGGGTAGGGATAGGGGTGGTGGGGTAGGGGTATGCGTAGGAGGTGGCGTAAAAATGAAAAAAAATTAAATTTGAAATATCTTTCAAAAACAATTTTTTAAAAAAAATTTGACAGGAATGGCTTTGGTGAGGTGGGGGTGGCGGCCGGAGGTTGGGGTGGGGGTGGCATATTTTCCAGAAACTATTTAAAAAAAAATTGACTGGGATGGCCTTGGTGGGGGGTGGGTAGGGGTGGGGGTGGCATAAAATTTTTAAAATTTGAAATATTTTTCAAAATCAGTGTTTTTCTTAAAAAAAAAAAAATTGACCGGGGTGACCTAGGTTACTTGGGTGGGTGTGACGTAAAAAGTGAAAAAAAAATTAAATTTGAGATATTTCTCAAAAACAATTTTTTTTTTATGAGAATGGCTTTGGATAGGGGTGGCGGGAGAGGGGTAGGAGGTGGCGTAAAAATGAAAAAATTTAAATTTGAATGAGGTAAATTTTAAAAATAAATTTGAAACATTTTTCAAAAATAATTTTTTTGAGGGAGGAAGGGGGGGGGGGGAGGGGTGGTTTGGTGGTAGGGATAAAAATATATTTGAAATTTAAATAATAAGAAAATTAAAAAAAATTAATTTTCTTTTTGAATAGAGAGGGTCGGGAACGGGTAGGCTAAGAAAAAAAAAATAATGAAGTAGAGTTTTGGAAAATGTTTTCCTAAATTTTGGAAGAGAAGTCATTTTCCTTAAATTTGAGAAAAATGAGTTGATTTGGAAAATATTTTTCAAACATTTATGTCAACTAAACATGAGAAAATTGGAAATATTTTCTCCATACCAAACACACCCGATGAGAGTATTATCTTTTTGTACAAAAGCAAGTCAGCATAAATGAGCAGAAACGTACACAAATAGACAATATCCAGCTTCAACCAAAATTTGAGAATGTTATTATTGCTTTACAGGTATCACAATAGACTACTATTTTGACAAGCAACACATGAAATTGCCATAACAAAAGTTCCAGGATTTTAACACTTGCTTGTTTGATTATTGGCAGAAGCGTAGTTATGCATCATGATTTACAATTCTCCAGAAGATTTATGTCAAAATTATTCTCTTGGATAGTCCTAATTAGTAGTAACAACTATACAGTACCTGCAAAACAAAATATAAAAAGGAGTCAAAATCAACAAAATCAGTGCATCAGTGATGCAGAAATCTCGGGTATGCGTTTCAGCTCAAACAAAATGTCACTTAAAAGATCAAAATAAACAGACCCAACAAAGACTTCCATATTTGATTTTCCAAAGTCCCACTAGTAGCCCATAAAATCCCATCCTACCATGATCTTACAGAAGGTAACACAGGCAAAAGTCTAAAAGATCTAACCCTTCAAAGGATCATCTGATATATACACGCAATTAATGCATAATAATACTAATACGTAATATTCGCTTTGATTTTATTATTCTATCCTTTATACCTTTAGGCAATAAAAAAACAGTAAGATACTATTTTTCTTTAAAATCCACCAATCACTGAATAAATATGTATCACCTTCAAGGATATCGTTGGAAAGGAGAAGTCAAAAGTTTGCAACTTACCTACATAAGTTTCACGTGTTACTTGTCTGAGTCATTACAGCTGCTGCAGTATGCAGAAACCGATATCTCAAACCTAATACAAGCCAAGAAGTGAAGTGCAATTCAATCGTCCTAACCAAGCCCAAACTTGGTATTATATAATTATGAACAGAAAAAATGAAAAGATAATTTAAATGTCCCCAGATGCCAATTCTGTTTTGGATCCAACATTAACAATGTCTGCCCAGTATGCTCGATTGAATTGTCAAGAGTAATTTTTTAATTTTGACCTGACTGATCCATGCAATCCGTGAACTAAAACGCCAAAGAAAGAGACTCAGAGAGTAAAGGCATTGCGAATACATCAGAGATAACTCAAGAAAACTGTTGTAATATGGAATAATCCAAATTTTGGAAGGATGTGACGAGACTGACAACTATCACCTCACTCCCCCAACCAGTCCTCAACATAGGCAGAATGCTCCTTCCGAGACTCTTAAGGAGTAAACCCCAGTAGAGACAGCTATTCAGTCGCGGATAATTTAGCTTTCCTTAGATCCAATGTGATGACATCATTTAACCAACTGATCAGAAAAGGTGCTCATGATGATTTGCAAGAAGGAACCGAGTCAAAGGAGCAATGCTAGTTTTTTCCGTAGGAGGAAAAAGAATGGCAAAGACACTAACAAGGATACTGAACTGTGTTTGCCTATGAGAAACCACTGCGAAGAAGCAAACCTGTTGAACTCTACCCTGCCAAACAACAAAGTTACATGCACAAACTCCCGTAGCCACTCAAGGAAAAGAACTGTATTCAAGTTTCTCATGTGTTTTTCAGATTAGGTATCCTTCTGGTGAAATAGATTAACTTGGTTAATCTGGGAAGCTTGCACGCCTAGGAATCTAGCTCAGCAAACTTTTAGAGACTTAACTTTTCGACAACTATTGAGAGAAATCAAATCTCCTGCTTGGGGATAAAAATCTCATGCCATACCCATCACAAACTACCCTCGAAAGGAAAATCTTACAGAATCTTATTGACTTGCACAACCTGGCTGGTTTATTCTTTCTTTTTTTGCTAAATAAATATGGGAATGGGACACTTCAACCCATAATTTATTTTGGCATTACAGACGAAATTCCTGCTAAGAATGCATATGCAACTAAGAAATCCTAGACTCCTAGTAACAGGAAATTGTGTCCTAAAAAACTGTTACGACAACCCTCAAGCTGGTGTAACCTCCTCTGCAGTTTATTTTAGCCAAATTTCTAGGATTCCAGTCGATGAATCTGTAATGAGACATTGCCTACAATTCTAGGAAATATTTGTTTTTGTATCAACAACGACGACGGAATAAGGAAAATATTATTCAAACATGTTAATACTTATATAACATGGTTCGGAAGTGCATGAAGAGTGAATATTTTGTATGTTTAAAGTGGATGATGAAATCTATAAAACAAAAGAGGAAAAGGAATGAAATAGAAGCAGCTGCCACTATTGCAGCTGCTGTGAATATATATAGCAGCTAAAGAGCAAGTATTAAAATCCTATGCTGTGATATTCCATGGCACAAAAATTGGGAATTCAAACTTTTCCCACTAAGTGGGTCCAGGACAAAGGGAGTAACTATTGGCATTAAAAGAAAAGTCTTTTCATCCTTGCGATGAGCAACCAAACCCGCAACTCTCGTGCCTAGCAGTAGTCATTGGTTGTTGTCCAAGAATTCATTTCAATGCCACCAAGGTAAGTTTGGTCCTATATTTTGTGTTGGTTGGAGTTAACATTTGTATTAATGCCATTACACTTTTGGATTGACTAGATTATATCAAGAACAACAAGGATCTTTGATAAATACCTAAAGTTGAAATTTTGGGTTTTCTTCAAGAAGGTAATTTCTACACTCTTTGAACAATAAGTGTGAGTTATTTATTAGTATTTATGGTTGTGAAAGATATTCTTTGGGTTATTGTTCGGGTAACAAAAATGTCAACGGGTGCGTGTCGGATTCTCCAAAAGTAGTACTCCCTCTATTTCAAAAAAGAATGGCCTCCTTTCCTTTTTAGTCAATTTCAAAAAGAATGACCTCTTTCCTTTTTTGGTAACATTTTAATTTCAGTTTTCCACGTGACATGTTTAAGGCCACAAGATTAAAGGGCAATTTAGTACATTTGACATAACTTTAATTTAGGACCACAAGATTCAAAAGTTTTCTTTCTTTTCTAAAACTTTGTGTCAAGTCAAACTAGGCCACTCTTTTTGAAACGGAAGGAGTATATTTTTAGAGAATCCAATACGAGTGCATCATCAAAAGTGAAGAGTCCGCACAACTCAGACCATAAGAGAAAAACTCTAACTCGATATTAATGAAAGTTGTGAAAATGGTGAACGAGATGATGAATAGTGCCTATGGGTTGTAAATAGTTGACGTATATGGCTTGAATGAACGTATTAACACATTGTTGAAATTATTTAAGGTGATTAATCAAACACCGACTACAATGAATGAATATGGAATTTTCGAAAATTCAGATCAAGTGTGAAATATTAGTTGACTAAATTGATATAGTTGCAAGACGTCAATAGTTACGAGTTTGATTATGTAGATTGAAGTTGTTGGAGTTATTTGAAACAATTGGACTGACTTTTAGCTTAATTAAAGCGACTTTGAGGTATGCCGAGCTCCTAGCTAATTGTTTGTTTTCAAAAACAACTTCATTACTTTAATGATAATGTTAAGGAGATCTCATGCACATGCGGGACAAGTTAGCATGGTATACTCCATAGTTAGGATTAAGATTTATAATATGCTTAGACATCCAAGTTTGGAAGTTATAAAATCATTTAAAGCTTTTTAAATGATTCTTGGAGTTATTACGCAGTACTTTATTATGTACTTAACTTTTTGTTACTAGTTGATTACAATCCATAGCATACTTTTGATGGACTTGTTGGAATCACTCTTAATTTGCATTGTCAAGTGAAACTGTAAACTTGATAGTAAAGGGATTCGGCAGAAGGCGGTGACTTGAGAAAATGAAAGTAACAATATTTTTACAGATCTTTGATATTGATTTCCTCATGTGATCGAGGGGATGACCACACTCGTGGGTTCAACACCCCGGTGTACTATTGCTCATTCGATCAAAGGGACCCATGGGTTCTACACCCTTGAGTAGCTTTGGTTATCTAGCTGAAGGGATGACCGGGCCCGTGGATTTTATATCCCAGTGTACCATAGCTTTTGTGGTGGGGCGAGTACATCGAACCTCACAAATAGCATCCTAAGCATATACATGCATATGGATACGAGACTTGAGATATGGACATTGAAATCGTGGAATAATATGACACTTGATGAGCTTCAGAAAGATCTAATTAGGGTTTACATGATTGGTGCTTCTTCCATGCTTTGATAAATCAAAATTTTGATTTGGTTTACCTCTCATGTATTTATAAATAGTGTTCATGTTATATGCTTTGATGAATTAAATTGTGTATATATTCCATCCCTCATCTTTTTATATATATGTATAACTCTTGCCCTATCACGGGTGGTGGCAATGATGCATATCCAAGTATTCTTCTTTTTCTGGAGAAGGTAACAGTTTTGCATATCTAAGTATGCTAATACTCACGCATCATTTGTTTAAATGGTGTAAGGTCTAGCCGACAATCAGGTGCAAGGTGGACTGTATATGGGTTAGGATTCTTGCAGTTTCATACTTTTGGTGATCCCACATTTAAGATCGTGTTGTCGTGGGATTCACATTGTTATATTTTCATTTTGTAAAGGACGAACTATTCATTCGTAATTTTATTGAGGCTTTATAGATGAACTTTTATTTTGGGTTATGGGTTCCTGTATGTGTTTGCAAATAACATTTTTATTTTGACTTGGTAAACGAGCATGTTGATTTGATATTATTCACTTAGAATCACTACATAATATTGAGGTTCATTAATTGAATTGCGGTATATTGGTATGAAATGGGTAGTCACTACACTAAATATGTTCGCTCGGTGCAAGTTGCAGGCATATGGGTGCCATGTCACACTTCCTCCCATTTTGGAGCGTGACAAACATGGTATATGAAGTTAATTAATTGAATTGTGGTATACGGATATGAGGTGGGTAGTCACTACACTAACTCGGTTCGCTCGGTGCCATGGCAGGCATCGGGTGTCATCCCACGTATCTTCCCATTTTGGGGCTTGACAGGTTCGATCAAAATGAGAATCAACACATTTGAGTCCACATTGTGCACAAAATTTAGTGTCTTCAATTCATATTTGACTACTTCATAATTTCCACAAACACAAATTCCGCTTCCGAATTTTTGAAATTGGATTTATACTTTCTTTTTAAAACTTTTTTTTTTATGACAAGGGAAACCCGCAGCCGTACCCTTTGGGTGTGCACAGGGTAAAACCCCCGCTCCTATGCAATAGCTCGCAAACCACATAGGAGAGGTAACCCGCACTAGGCATGCCCGATGCGACGAGCTCGACCTAGAAGGCAAACTCCTTGCTTTCGCTGGCAAGGGGTTTCGAACTTGAGACCTCCAACATGGAAGTCCCAAGCCCAAACAACTGGGCCACCCCGAAGGGTTCTTTTTAAACAAAAGAGTTATAAAATGTTTCTTTTTGAATTTTCTAAACAAAATTCGAGTTCCTACTGCTAAACAACCCTCCCCATAGGTTTTCTTCTTAAAGAATAAGGAAATGAAGTATAGGTGAAATTAATGATGAAGTTAATCTTTGATTTGGAATCAAAAAAAGGTAATAAGGATCTTATGGAGTGACTTCATGAAGTGCTTCTTTCAGAGTTAAGCTTTTGTATCTTTTATAAGGAATCGAGAACTTTTGTATCTTTCATAAGGAATCGGTTGAATATGTGTTGGGTTTTTCTGAGTAGAGGATGGAGAAACACTTGGATACAATGACAACTATTTACCCCACAAGTTATTTTCAGCAAACTACGTGACAAGGAGAAATACTTGGATATAATAACAACTACTACGCCGCACTTCCAAACAAGTTGGGGATGGAGAAATACATAAGTGGCCATATGGACATAAGAATTGTGAAATTTGGAAAAAAGTAGTATTTGTTTTCAAGTTATGACATTTGGAAATTGGAATTGTGTTTGGACATGAATACTAGTTGGAGTTGTTTTTGACATTTTGTGAGTGAGTTGAAGTTAAAATTGTGAAAACAACTTTTTGGAGTATTTTGAATTCTGGAATTCAACTTGAAGATGAATTCAGGAAAATTAGAACAATTCTATGTTCAAATAGTTTTTGGCCGGAATAATATTCCAGAAAAAGTGAAAACTATCCATGGTCAAACAGGCACATATATAAACACAACAAAATTGCCAGCTTGACTACCATTGATGACTTAGGCAAGCTTTTGTGGAGGGAGAATCTGATAGATTGATACAGCAAACAGAAAACAGATTTTAGAAAATTCAATTGCCAGACCCCTAAGGTATCTGGTTGGTTTATGTACCTTCTTTGACTATCTTCTTAGCAAGACGCCACAGAAAGATGATTATTGGTTAAAAAAACATTTCATAATTGAATTGATAGGTTTCTGTCACAAGAAGAAAATAAAATATCATAATTCATAATAGTGTAAACTGAAGTAGAGGTGTTTATTTGATATTGTTCTTACTTAGGATCCACCAAGAGTTTTTGAATGCTTAACTATTAATAAAATCAAATGTGTCATCTCTAGGAATGTCAATGATATGAAGCACACTGACCTGGATAATTTTCTTATAAGTGTGTCAAACACAGAGAAGAAACTTCCTCCAATTGTAAGTTTTTGGCTTGAAGCCACGAAGTCTACTTATGACCTTTGAATTAGCATCTTCTGAGACATGAGAAACCTGTAGCTAAGTTTTCTCCAAGTAAAGGATGATGAAGCTTTTCATATGAATATCCAGTGAAAGAAATTTCAAGGGATGCTCAATGTTGAAGACGGAATTCTTTTTCTAGTGTCTTTAAATTTCATCGTCTAACATCAGAGATTGAAATTAAATATCAATTTATGAGCTTTGTAAAGCATAGCCGATCCCAAGTGGGCGAAAAAGGAGGGTCCCAGAAACTTCAAAAAAATAAACAGAGGAGGTTTCTGGCACGTGGACAGTCACAGTAAAGATAGTCTAAATAGAATGAATCCTATAAATACAGGGCAGAAATGTAAAGGATTAATATAGTGACCAACTAATCTCAAAATTGAAACCTAGTTGAATGATTGACTGATTGTTGTATTTTAATGACTACTCCAGAATAGTTGACGTTGTCCCACTTAATTAACCTTTCCTAGGATGAAATGCATTATAGAGTATCCAAAGTAGTAGCAAGAAAGTTGCTATGAACCTTGTTAGAACATGAATAGGTTTATACAATCCTATTAGAATAGGAATAGGTTTATACAATTCTATTAGAATAGGAATAGATTTATACAATCCTATTTAGAATAGAAATAGGAATAGAAAAGGATTATAGTGTAGTGTCTATAAATAAGGTCTCAATGTAATAATGTAGACACAACAACAATTCAATAATATTCTTTTCCTATATTTCTCACATTGTATCAAAGCCTCTACGATCTTGATAAATAATCAAAGAGCTTTCATTGTCGGCGGGTGGCTATTACCCATATATGCCACCCATCTGGCCAATAATTATGTTAACAAAAGTAGGGCCAATGATATATGCATGAACCCCATATTCAGGGGAAGAAAACTTAGTCAGAGAGGTCACCGTGCGTCAATTTCCGATGACTTTCTAGGGTTGTTTTGTGTCAACCATGTATCTGTCATTGTTTGTGTAGCACCATGCCATCATTCCAGTGACTACTTTCTTATATTTAATTTATGTAGCACCGTGCCATCATTCCGGTTACTACTTTCTTATATCTGATTTGCGTAGCACTGTGCCATCTTTCCGGTGACTACTTTTTCATATTTAATTTGTGTAACACTGTGCAAATCTAATTTGTGTAGCACCATGTATCTCTCCGAACTACTTTTCGTATTTAATTTGCGTAGTACCATGGATTTCTCCGAACTACTTTCTCATATCTGAGTTGCATAACATCGTGTCGTTACGGTGACTCCTCAGATTTGATTTGCATAGTTCCATTCGTCTTTCTGGTGACTCCTCAAATCTAATTTGCGTAGGGCTGTGCCATCATTCCAACCCTATCCATATAATTTCTCTTTTTCACTAGGGTCGTTCCATCATTCCGACTCTACCCATATTATTTTTCTTTTCCAATAGGGTTGTGCCATCAATTCGACCTTTCCTATATAATTTCTATTTTCTAATTGGGCAGTGCCATCATTCCAACCCTACCCATATAATTTTATTTCTTAGATTGTGACCACTTTCAGCCATCAAATCTAATACTCCAGCATATGAGCATGTTCTGACAATTTTTTTGGTGTGTTTCTTGTTTAATATCGACTCATCTATTGATTCCAACACGATCCATATACTTTATACTAGATTTTGAGCACTTTGTTGCTTAGGGGGAGTTTAGTAGCCTTGTATGTCGATTATGTAAGTTGATCATAGGTGTATTTATATGCCTAGGAGCCAAATAACACCCTCATTTTAGCTATGTTCAAGGACAAACTTTTTTGATGAAGTAAGATGTTGTATTAGAAAGGCATCAAGAAGATGCAAATTACATACACAAAAATATGGTTAACTCCTGAGAACAAAAACACCTATTTAATCAGGGAGTTAACCACAAGCAAAAGGATGGTCGCTAAGCCATATTGAGGGAGCTAATGAAATCTAAGAGGGGTAATATATCATTTACAGGGGATAAGTTGCTCCATTAGAAGAGACTAATAACGCAAAAGGATTTCAAACTGCTAATTGGAGTTGAGATACCATCAAAACATCTGAGATTGCTTTCCTTCCAAATACACCAAAAAATACATGATGAAATCATCTGCCAGGTCTTCTTGATGGGGCTATCAACTTCTCTAAGACTCCAACTTCCAACTACTTCTTTGACACTTTGCAGGAGAATCCAGTTGATACCAGCAATTGAAATAAACATATTCCAAAGAGTTGTTGCCACTGGACAGTGCTGAAACAAATGATTCACTGATTCCAGGCTATTGAGGCACATGAAACATCTGTTTACTAGCTGAAGTTTCCTCCTATTTAGATTGTCCAGGGTTAGGATACCATTCTTGAGGGTAGTCCAGGTGAAACACTTGATTTTAGGGGGTAGTCTAGTCTTCCAGATCAGTTTCCATGGCCACTGGTCTATCATGGCATTTGAAGAGCACAACTTATGGTATCCTTCCTTCACTGTGTATATTCCTTTTTCAGAGTTGCCCCATTTTAAGCTATCAGGCAAGTGAGGGGTCATTCAGGTTCCTTCTAGAATTCTGAAAAAATCAAAGAGCTCATTAAGCTCCCAGTCTTGAAAATTCCTTCTAAAGCGTGGTGCCCATATTCCACCTTCTCTGTTTTGAGCCACTGAAGAGTCTGTGTCAGAGGCTATCCTGTAAATAGCAGGGTGGGAGACATTGAGAGGTTGATTGTTAAGCCACCTGTCTTTCCAAAATTTAACTGAGTTCCCATTTCCAATCCTGAAGGACACCTCTTGGAAGACCTCCTCCCTTAGCTGGTTAATGTACTTCCAAGGTCCAACTCCATAAGGATCATTGTTCTGCTTGGTGTTCCATTTGTCTTGCCTCCCATATTTGGCATTCACTACCTCTTTCCAGATACATGTTGGTTCTTGAGCATATCTCCACCACCATTTCATTAACAGACTCTTGTTGTGCTTCTTTAAATCTCTGATTCCCAACCTCCATGCTGCTTTGGCATATTTACATTTTCCCACTTCACAAGATGGAACTTATGGCCCTCATAGCTCCCCCCTTCCACAAAAAAGATCTTCTGATTTTGTCAATTTGATTTTGTACCTTGGATAGTATTGGGAGCATTGACATAATATATGTGGGGATACTGTCAAGTACACTGTTGATAAGAGTCAACTGCCTCCCATTGAGAGATATTGCATCTTCCAAGTTGCCAACCTTCTCTCCATTTTCTCGATAACTTCATTCCAAACTCCTGCATCTTTGAACTTTGCTCCCAAAGGGAGACCTAGGTATTTTGTTGGAAATGTGTCAATGCTACAACCCATGATGCCTTCTTCCAAATTAGGGACCTCATTTACTTGGTAGATCTTACTCTTCTGCATATTAATATGTAGCCTGGAGATTGCTTCAAATAAGAGTAGTGTTAGGTTGAGATATCGCACCTGAGACTTCTCTGTCCCACAAAAAGTAAGAGTATCATCCGCGTAGAGCAAGTGAGTCACAGAGATAGAATTATCTTCGTTGTTGCCCACGCTGAATCCTTCAATCCATTGCATTTGCTTTGCCTTTGCTAACATCTTGTTGAGACCTTCCATGGCAAGGATAAATAAGAATGGAGAGAGTGGGTCTCCCTGTCTAATCCCTTTTCAAGGACAAATCTCGATTATTGGGTAGGATTTAAGTCATATATTTCATTTGGACTAACCATTGTGATTAGTGATTGTAGGTTGGGAAACAAGGAGAAAACAAGCAAAAGAGTGGAAATCATGAAGTGAAGAGTGGCTCCAAGCGCGACAGCATTAGTAAGAAGGTGCCAAATAGAAGTGGAAGCCATTATGAAGTGAAAGATGAGGCATGCACCTTCTCCACATCGTGGAGAGAGAAGTATTTATTTTTCCCACATTGTCATTTGAAGTTGAAACTAAAAGGCGCCTCCGCGCGGAGACAAGCTCCAGTTTTTTGTCATTTATCCTAAATTATAAATAGACTCGGATTCTATTTTATTAATTGTTCTTTTTTTGGGTTTGGAAGAACGACGACTTTGGGAGATGTTTCATCTATTTATAGGGTTTATTCCTAAATGTTACTCCATTCAATCTCTTTTATGTTAATTGAACAATGTGAAATTGAGAATCATATTATGAGTAGCTAAATTCCCTAGTTCTAGGGTTGTGGCTACAGGATGATTGTATTTTATTGATTTTAATGGATTTATTATGATTATCATATGAATCTCTCTTTTGTTCTTACTTGAGTATTTTTTGACTGACCACCATTGAAAGAAATGTCTTGTCCGAATTGAACACGGGAGAGGAATAGGAGGATAGAACGTGGGGCAAAAGGAGCATGATCTTCTCTAGGTTTAGGGTTGATTTGTATCTAGGATAGGGAAATACCTAGAAACCTTGCTTGGTTAATAGACAGGACAATCATAATGCCCAATAATTGGTTTAGTCTATCCCCACTCAACGATGTAGTTAGGTTGCCAATTACCATAGGCGATTAGAGATCGAGAGACCATGATCATACATTTAACTCTGAAATCAGTGATTCAATAATCGATTGATATCCATTAAATGAGATATGTTGCATGAATCCATAACAGGCTGCAGCCCTGAAATTCCTCAAGTCATTGTTTGAAATCCAATTGAAATCGAATCGTAGTAGTTTACTTCAATAATTAGATAAATAAATCATTCAAAATCCCATAGCACTTTTCTTGATAACACTTGTTCTAAATTTTAATTGTTGGACGAATTGAATACATCTAATCTTAAGTGTGGGTACGATACCCGACTCTTAAAAAGAGCTACTTTATTACTTGCACGACTTCATACACTTGTGTGTGCGTTTGGGCGCAAAATAATAAACTCTATGCCCTGAAACAATCTTTGCAAGTTTGGTTTGGGAAGTTCAACACTGTAATTTTATCACTATGTGTTTTATCGGCATTATGCATCAAATTCAGCATTACATGAGAAGATTAAGCTCATTGGGATTGACTGACATTATGCATCAAATCCAATATTTAATGAGAAGACAAGCACATTGAGATTAACTGTCAATTTTGTGAAGTCGATTGATCAACTTGCAAGAATCTCACCCAACCCCTCATCAGTCCTCGTATTAATTACATTTGTAACAAGCTAGGTACATGAACTGTATGCACTAGCTTGAGGGGGAGTGTTAGAACATGAATAGGTTTATACAATCCTATTATAATAGGAATAGGTTTATACAATCCAATTGAATAGGAATAGGTCTATACAATCATATTTAGAATAGGAATATGAATAGAAATAGAAATAGGAATAGTAAATAGTATCCTACTATGTAAAGGATTGTATTGTAGCGTCTATAAATAAGGTCTCAATGTAATAATGTAGACACAACAACAATGCAATAATATTCTTTTCCTATATTTCTCACAAACCTGACTAATCTTTTGACTTATAAACGTATCTAGAAATCGCATCTAGTTTTTTTTAATTAGTGCATAATTATAATTTATATGCAATCCTCAATTATAATTGGTCACCAGTTCATGATTTTTAATCCACGGAGTAAAACACAGCTTTTCAAGAGCAATATCCTTTTTTTCTTTTTTTTGGTAAACAGAGCCCATGTTTTAAAAGTAAAAAGCACAAGAGATAAGGTCCTTAGGACTGGAAGAGAAAAACGAGAAGTGAAGTGCACAATTGAAAAAAAAATCACATGAATTTAATTTTTTTTATGACAAGGAAAACCCACAGCTGCTACCCTTTGGATGCGCACAGGGTAAAACCCCTGCTCCTATGGAAGCACATATGAATTTAGCACTATAATAATCAAATTGCAATTAAAATAACTGATTATATTCAATATTCAATAATGCCATAGTTGAGACCCAAAGAAATAGCCATTTTATGGTTAGATCACTTCACGAGACATTGTTTGAAGCACACACTTGATTGAAGCGCATACCTTCACCTATGAAGTGATTACCCTCGCTTTGCATGGCTTCAAGCGACAAAACAATGACTTCTAATAACACTGACCAGAGTAATGTAAATGGGTTAGAAGATCCTTGAGTTTCGTGGACTTCTTTGATAACAATTTTTGTTAAGAAAATGTAACACCCCCTTGGTGCATTTATACTCGTGAAGAAAGCGTAACTCTTTATGAAAAGTTTATCTTTTAAACCCTAAGGGATTGTTTGATAACTGGTTGAGAGGTGAGTTGTGAAGGTAGTAAATCCTGCAAATGTAATACAATGTTTGGTAGTTGGTTCAGAGGTAAGTTATTTATATAAAAACTAATATGGTTTTTGGCTTACAAATTTAGAAACCTGCATAACTGTATTAGTTATGAGGGAATCTATATATTATTTTATGCCGAAGAGAAGGCGGAATAACTAATTCATGAATAACTAAATCCTACGTAACTAATTCTAGCATAAAATAATACATAAATTCTCACATAACTAATCCATATATTACTAATACTTGCATAAGTCTAACGAGCTACCAAACGGCCCCCAAGTAATATTCTTTTTTTCTTGTAAAGGAGCAAAAAATGAATTTGGATTAGATCTAGGATAGGATGCAAAAGAATTCTACCTGCTAAGGCTCAGCATCTGCTATGAGCTTTAGGAGGTGCGTACATTAAAAAAGGTACTTTTCACAGCACCACAAAGAACGGACCCTATTCTCCGGTATCAAAATAAGTACAGAGATGCAACTGTTTGTGGGAACTTGAATTGGTGTTTGAAGAGTAATTGAAAATTGAGTCCAAACAATGACTGGAAATACACCCATTATGACAGACCAGAGAATAAGACATTTCCGGAACAGTTACTGAAAATTCAAATGTTAATAGGAGGGGATCAATACCCAAAATCTGAACCATGAAAAAGCAAAATGAACAAAGAAGTTGTGCAGAATGTGATTCTTGAAAACGAAGTTGAATTAATAGACCATATTATGGTCGGAATAATATTGCTGCTAGAATGGACTCCTGAGAGGCATGAAAAGTAAGATTATGACATGATGGAAATGTTTGACTTGACAAGCAGTGTCACATGGAAGCTTTAAGGTCTTTTCCCAGATCATAGACACTGATACTAACCAGAAAAGTTAGAACATGTTCCCAGCAATTAAAAAATCAAACTGGTAGCTTTTCTAATTGGCTGTGGAAAACCATCTGGGAAAACAGAGCACGCCTAAAGGTGGACTGTTTGACATGATTGGCGGCACACATGCCTTACTAAAAACAACCTTCAGAAAAGGGGATCAATATCTGCAACAGGTGTCCTTTATGTGGAAGACAGAATGAGGATATCAAGCATCTTCTGGCATTTCATTCTGAACATTAGAGTGGTTAGCTGGTTAATGACTATTACAACTACTTAGCTCCTAAAATCTTGGGGCTTAAAAGGGATGGGGAAGGACAAGCAAAAGATATGGAATATGATGTCTATCACCATCTCATGGATCATCCATAAACAAAGGAACACAAGAATTTTTTAGAGCAGAAAGGAATCTGTCATCGGCATTAAGAACATATGCATTTATCTACTGTTTTATTGGTGTAACATGGTAATTGCAAATGATGTAGAGGCTTTCTGTAATGAGGCTTTCCTATGTAAATACTTTGCAGCAGTTTGCTGCACTTTAATTCAATACTTTTACCAATAAAAAAAAGAGAGAAAACTCTTGTTTAAATTAAAATGATAACAACATATAACATGGCTTCTTATATAATGGCTTAACTGTATGAATATAAGGAAATTTCAGACTATAGAGAGTAAGGAAAGTTTAGACTAATGAAACTTCCCTAATTACCACAATTCCTTTTTATGACACAAACATAAGAATGTATCATACTACTAACCTAAATATACTCTAACGCTAACAACATTAGTTATCTTGACTTTCAACACTTATTAGTGTACTTAAGGTTGAATTAGTATATCAAAATACAAGCTCTCACAAAGTAAGAGCTCTACATACTTCAGAGAATAGGAAATGGATACCTCCACAACTTACAAAATAACAGCTTATGAATCTACAACCCATAGCTACTGTAAGTCCCACTTGCACCTGTATTTACTTCAAGAAAACATGTTGCCTATAGAAAATTTGAAATGCATGCAGTCCTAACTATAATCCATTTCTATCCCCTACTTGGATGAGGGTAAATTTATCTGAACAAAAAATGGTACTTAACCACTTCCTCTGGTTTCCTGATTATACATCCCATGCTTCTCACGTTTGGTAGATTAGTTTCAAATTATATGTTATCGCCCATATACCAACTTTCTGTGGCTTCCATTATTCATAGGTCCTCTTTATCAAAGGATAGAAATGTTGCATTCTCAAATACTATAAATATAATCAGCCATAGGTGCAGAGTTGATGCACAATTGAAACATAATAAGAATATGTCTCACTTACCTATGTGCTCCAAATGGGGCCAAAAGATGCCCATATTAAGAAGCAGAAAATGCAAGTACTTCATCTGTCCACATAGGCAAGAAGTAATTTAAGGCAGGTTGATTGCAAGATATAGTAATCATAACCAATAAGAAAACAAAGAGAATACACATAAATCAAGTTTACTATAAGAAAAACATCACATAGAACTTACAGCAACATTGCATAGTGAAGCCACATAAGTAATAGGTCTGCAAAAAACAATCTAGCATACCTTAACACTGCTTAAAGAAGAAGGCCAACTTCAAGACCTGACAACCGTATCCCATTAACCACCAAATGTGTTACCACTCCCACCTACTTCATCTTCACTACCACTTTCGGGTGGCCAATTCGGCCAACTTGATACGGTCTCCACACTATTAGCCCTCGCAACAACCCCATCTCCTTGACCAGTCTGGCCAATCTGAGTAGGGGAAAGCAGAAACTCCAAACTGTCACCCCTAGTTGTATCCTCCCTGTCGAGCTGATGCCTCCTGGCAACACGTCTAAGTGTTCGCCTAAACCCAAACAAATCCTCTTGCTCACCCAGAAACTCTTCCAACCTCATTGCTGCAACAAAATTCTGACGTCTACGGCAAACCTCATCTTCCTCCGTAGGTAACTGGAACCTACAAACTGGACATGAATTGTTCATTTCTAGCCATGGTAAAATACAATCAGAATGATACATGTGTTTGCAAGGCAACATTTTAACTTGCATGTCGAGTAAAAACTGGTCTTTGCAAACTGCACAAGGAATAACCGGATCATTCTCAAGCATAGAAGAGGTAATTTGAAGTAGTTCAAGTGCCGCCACAGCTGATCTGGAAGCAGAATTGTTGTGAGGATTGGGGGTGGGAGCGTCGTTAGTGGTGGTGAGATGGCGAATTAGACGGTGGAGATAAGGACTATTGAGGAGGAAGTTGTCGTCGGAGGGAGTAAAAGTGGTAGGGGTTTCAATGTCAGAGGTAGGGTTAGGGTGATTTGGAAATTGGGGAAGAATGGTAGGGGTAATAGAGTCCATATGTTCGAGGAAATCGGAATGGCAGTGAGGGCAACGAGGATTATTGGGGGGTGGGTGAAGGAGGAAGACGCTCATGTCGCATTCGTGGCACCAGAAAGTATGGTGGCGCTGTGGCGGAGTTGCGATGGTGGTGGACATTTGGTGTATGTAAGTGGGAAAACGGATGGAATATTATTGTGATGTGAAAAGACAAAAGCGATTTGTGTTTGTTTTTTATCGTAAGAAGAAGAAACGGGACGGGAGGGAGGAAGAAGAAGAAGACAGTGGGCCATACCGGTCGTTGCCCTCTTTTGGTTTGTTGGCTTGTTGCTCTCTAAACTCTCAAAACATTCAAATGACAACCATTGTGTACGATACTCTTTTGTCCAACCCTACTTATTCACTTTTGAATTGTCATACTTCTTTATAAATAATAAATATTAGGGATAATATTATTATATTACTTTTTAACTTTAGTAAATTTAATGAAAAATGTGTTCCCCCTTCGTCCCATTTTATGTGACAACATTTGACCGGGCACGAAATTTAAGAAATAAATAAAAGACTTTGAAATGTTTATCAAATTGCCCTTTAAAAAGTACTCACTTTTCTCTCCTCATAAATGTATTGGAGTATTATTTTAAGATTAAGTGAGACCAACAATGTAAAAGAGGAATTGTACCTTTAAATACTTACCATATTAGAAAATGTGACATTCTTTTTGGGACTGACCAAAAAGAAAATGGTGTCACATAAAATGGGACGGAAGGAGTACATGATAAATAATATTTAATAGGAAGGATAAAATAGATACAAAAGATAAATTATCTTTTGATTTTCTAAATTAAACAAATATTGTTTGACAATTTTTTTAATATAGTGGACAACTATTGTTGGACGGCGAAAGTAGTTGAGATAACTAATGAAAACATTCTTAAAATTTGTGAATTATTACTTTTAACTCCATGACCTCATTAAGATTATGAATTATTATTTTCTCATATTTGAATATTAGAAATTTAGTACTCCCTTCGTCCCTATTTAGTTGTCCACTTTAGAAATGACACACAAATTAAGACAACAATGATTAGCATAGTGAAGTTATAATTTTACCCTTATAGTACAATTTACTTCCAAAATAAATTCACTCAAGATAATTAATCAATGCTGGGAAGTTCATAAGTTTATTTACTTTATTTATGACAACTTTTCACTTTAAATAAGGGTATAATAGGAAAAAAATTGTTGTCCTTTCTTGATTTGTCAAAATGGACAACTAAATAGGGACAACTAAAAGAGAAAATATGGACAACTAAATAGGGACGGAGAGAGTACTGTCATATATATTAAGAATCTGAAAGATTATAAAATTCTTACTCTTTAATTAATTTTATCTTCTACATATTTTCAATTATGATATGTTGTTCTTTGATATAATTGGTTTCTTAATATTAAATGATTTTTCATAGATTAGTCATTTATAACTTTTTCTATTGTTTGATACATGTACATGCAAAGTATAAAATACTCAATTTAATGGCATATTATTCATTCTTTAATCAGTAGCAGCTAGCTTTCCTTGCTCTTCCGTGTCATTATCCATAAACACCCCTAAATATGTCATAATAAATTAATCATGTGGACGATACCAACCCCTCGCATTCTAAAATGTATGCTTTTTTTAATTATTCTAAACAATCATATTTTAAAACTAAAAATATTTTGAAATAGATTATTATTTTTTTTTAAAAAAATAACTAAAGAATTATGAACAAACCAAGTCACATGTTTGTTATTCTGGAGGGCACCAATTCGGAAAAAAATTAGGAAACAAAAACAATTACAAGTAAATAGGAAGACCAAGAAGGTTACAACTAGCAGTAGTTTTAGTAATTCAGACTCTCTAACTTTTTCCTGTATTAACCATTAACAAAAAATAGAAAAGTAGCAATTGAAAACATTTAAACTTTTCTGAATAAAGAATGTGAAAGGTTTAAGAAGCAATATGTGAAAAATACGTGATAACATCTATCTATCTATCTATCTATCTATATCTATATTATCTATTTATATTTATCTATCTATCTATATCTATGTCTATCTATCTATCTGTTTGTCTGTCTGTCTATCTGTCTATCTATCTATACCACCTTATAAACATGAACTTCCTAACTTGAATGTTAAATTATTATAACACCCAAACTTAAAACATCCAATTTTGTAAATCTTTTATATTTTATGGTATATTACATATATTTAAATGTTTATATTATAAAATTCATTAAAAGCATATATACACCTTTTCACATTAAAGGGTGGAGACTTTTTAAAAGAGTTGTGACTTTTTCAAAAGGCTGCAACTTTTTCAAAAAGTTGTGACTTTTTCAAAAGGCTGCAACTTTTTCAAAAAGTTGTGAATTCTCCGATGAGTTGTGATCTTTTCAAAGGGTTGTGACTTTTCATAAGGGTTGCGACTATTCCAAAAGGGTGTGACTTTTTTGAAGTGTTGTGACATTTCTAAAGAGTTGTGATTTTTATAAAGAGTTGTTACCTTTCTAAAGAGTTGTGAGTTTTTTGAAGAGTTGTATCTTTTCTGATAAAGCACAATATGCACATGTTCGTACTACCTTTGTTGGCTATAAATAGAGGAGGTCATCACATTTTTAAACTACAAATTTTCTAAGTTTTCTATTCTTCTTCTTAAAACACCAAATTTAATACATATTCTATATTCATTTATATTATAATATAAAATATATTAAAAGAAGATACATTTTCACATTGAAGAATTATGAATTTTTCAAAGGGTAGTACCTTTTTCGAAGGATTGTTACTATTACAAAGAGTTGTGACTTTTCCGAATGATTGTGACTTTTCCAAAAAAATCATGACTTTTCATTAGGGTTGTGCCTTTTCAAATAAGGCATTATAAACCGTTGTTCATACTACTCTTTGTTGACTATAAATAGAGGGGTTCTCTCACATTTTTAAACCACAAATTTTCTATATTTTCTATTATTATTATTCTTAATACCCAATTTTGTACATATTCTATATTCAAACTATATATTTTTTAAGCAACTTTATGGACCATTGGTCTGATTTATTGATTATCTTAAAGAAGTTGGATAAGTACTAATACCAAAAGTCTTAGCCCAAATCCTACAAAATATTTTATCTTACATTTATTTATAGTATAAAATATATTAAAAGCAAACACCTTTCCACATGAAGGATTGAGACTTTTCCAATGGGTTGTTACTTTTTCAAAGAGTTGTAACTTTTCCGAAGGATTGTGACTTTTCCATATCGGCCAAAATTTACAACATTTTGGAGATATAATTAATATAACAACATTTCAAATCACAATAAAATATATTAATAGGTACAAGTACCTTATAAAGTTGCGGTATAATTTATTTTCTATTTGTTGTCTCTTCGTCAATTCTGATTCCATCAAGAATGCTTAAAAAGTTTCCATAACCAAACACACAAAATTAATTCAATAAAAAATCATAAAAATAAAAGTTTACAGATCATTGAATAGAACACTAATGTAATTTGTCGGACAAAGTGATGATAGAAGGGAAAAGCCCACAAAAAAAAGTAGATACGAACCTGTAATATCTCGAAAATTACTAAGCTAAGCCCGAATAATTATGTAATACCTCACAACTCTACTCTTATAATTTAAATTGTTCGCCATAAGTATATGAGTTTGGACCGGGTGATGTCTTACTTGCTCACCCATTTTAAGGCCCATTACCAAGTTTATCAAGAGTATCAAAATTCATCTAGAGTCATAAGGGACCTCAAACACCAAGCCAACTTTAAAGCATTTCTATCGGCTAAGTTCTCCTGCTAGTTCATATAAAGGTCAATTTCAGATAACTATATCTCTAATAATATAGTGAATTAGATGACCTACGACCTATCCAATTAAAGGTTTAGGAGTCTTTTTCACAACGCACCGAGTTTGTCTTATTTCAAGTTTGGAGCAAAAAGTTATGGTCATTTTACTCTAAGATATCGGACTGAGCAATTCGGTGAGGTCACCTGCTCAATCGGTGATCCACCGAATGAGTTGGCAAATCACCGAATTAGCTCACCAAATTGTTTTGAAAATCTGAAGTCTTTGTGTATTTGAGCGATCTAAAGTCCCATTGGACGACTCACCAACTATTTCAGCGAGAAGATCTCCAGATTGCCGATTTAGTCGATGGGATTCATTAAAAGGTCGTTTTATTTTAATTTTTTGATCATATTACGTTCCTAGATGGGTTTTCTTGATATTTCACCCTCAATCAACTTCTCTAAGTCCATCATACAACCTAATAACACCATTATACGTATAAAAACTCTCAAAATCCCTGCTTCTTATTCTTCTAATGATCAAGAACTCGAAGAAAGGATTTCTTCAATATCTCAAGATCTAAAGGCTCCAAGTTCAAGATTATCTTCAAGAATCCTAAGATTCTCTACAAGAATCCTAAGTTTTCCAATACAAAATTCTTCTCCATTCTTCATATCCACGAAAACCCCAAGGAAGACAAAAGTTAGAGTTTCAAGTCTTCTAATCAAGTTCTTCTTTAAACTTCTTCGAGAATCTTGTTCTTCAGATATGCAAGGTTATTCATAGTATTGGACTAGTTTGTCCTCACGCTCTATATATCAATTCAGTTAGTAGCAAGTTGAATCTAGGGTTCTGCCCTCAGTTTTATTAAATTCCTATATTATGAGATTGTGATACTTTAAGCATTGAAAATTTCAAATTACTGTTCATAATTGTAGTTCCACATGAATCCTATATATTTAGTTTTACTAAATGTATTTCGAGCCAGTAAAATTTTCTTACATTGATTTTGAAAACTAAACTGAGTTTAAGAGAAAAGTTTAAAGCATTATTTTCAAAAAGAGTTTAAGAACTTAAATAATTTCGAATGTATCATTTGTACATTGAAAAAGAGAGCACTATTTTCAAAAACTATAAAGAGTTTTCAGAGTATTTTATAAAGACTTAGTACAACTTCAATTAACTCATAAAGAGGTCTTTTGAGAAATTATCTCAACTCGGAGAGTACTTTTACATGATCTTACAGTTATATTTTGGGAGTAGTATTAAGCAATGATTTGGGGTAAGAGTTAAGATAACTCAAACTCCATAATCTACATCGCCAACATAGATAGCGTTGTACCACAAGACAGGTGATTCCTCACC